TAACATAATAATATAGTCCAATTTATAACATAACTATTTCGAATAAATAACATAATAATTTAAAAAAAAATTTCGGCCGGCCGGCCGAACCGGACGGACCGGTTCCGACCGGCCGTCGTTTCCGGACGGTTCGGACGGCAGCCGTCCATCCGGCCGTGCTTTCCGGCCGGTTTTGACGTCGTCCGGCCGGCCGTTCCGGACGGTTTAAGGACCGTCCGGTTCCGGCGTCCGGACGGCTTTTAGTCCGTCCGGAACCGGCGACCGTACACGTATTTTTTCGTACCTCCGAATTTGACGACATTTCACCGTACACTTTCCTCTGAGATGTTTAGAAAAAATGAGAAGGGCAAAATTGTCCAAGGGGGGCGGTGACTAGTAATATGGGGGGCGGTGAATAGTAACGCCCTACAAATTTCACGTTTTTTTTATCTTCACCTTTAAACTGGATATAAAGTGGTTTTAACCTAAAAAAATTGATTCTCGAATGTATTTAAGGAATTTCGTATATTTTTTTTTTAAATGAAAAAAATGGAAACCTACTTTTTGGATGATAAAGTCATGTAGCCTGCAGTTCCTCCTCAATTTTCAGCAACTGGTACTTCATGGATTCTTCGTCGTCTACCTCTCTAGGGCGACAACCGGCCATTTTTTTGGTCGGCTTTGGATACTCTGACATATCCAACAACGTCATCCACGGCCCCACTCGGGCCCTCCTTCGTCTTCTTCACGGGGATCGGAAACGTGCTCGGCTACACTGTCAGAGCCACCGACAGCCTCCACCTTCGCCTCCCATTCGTGGCGGCAACCGATGTGTCGGGCTTTGTCGTGGGTTTCGTGGCGGGCCTCGTCGGGGAGGAGCTTGTTTGACCTCGACCATGTGGTCCTTGTCTGTGTGACCGATGTAGACGATGAGCGAGCCCCATTATTTTTCTGGCAACCAATCCACAGCCCTCGTTGTCGCGCTCCTTATCCAATCCATAATCGTAAAGATCCTCCTCGAATTGTAGAAATCGGCAGCACGAAAACCCTAAACAACAAAGAGAATCAGTCAGCGAACCAAACCCCCTCTATGAACACCTGGCTCGTCAGTAGGAAGAGGTGCGGCGGCGGCGCCCGGACCTCCTCTCAGTGCCCCTCGAGCGCAGCAGCGAGTATGAGCGCGATCGGAAGGCACAGGCTGATCACCTCCGGGAAGGTGACATACATGCCGAGTGAGGGGTTTCCCAGCTGAATACCGGTGGATCCGGGTGGTGGGAGGCGGGCGGAGATTCTTTTTGTAAATATCCAATCAAAATATTTAAATATTATTTTAATATAAACCTAAAATTCCACTAGTAAATAACTATACTACTTAATTAACTATGATTAAAGATAACCAATCAAAACTAAATCAAATTCATATCCAATCACACCTTTAAAGACCCTTCAAGTTCACTCGAAACAATTACATCAAATGAATTTTTATATCATAACAATTAACAAAAGTTAGAATCAGTTATGTCAGTCTACGCTTGAAAAACACTATTTCCAAGTATGATAAGCTAGATGTTGTTATACATGAAGGGATTGTAAATATTATTTTTTAATGAAGAAAACAACAATAAAATTAAAATTAAAAAAATTAAAAAAAAAAAGAACAAGAGAAAAGACCAAACTGCCTGTTCCAATTTCGGTTCGAAACCAATCACCAACGATTTAAAAAGTACATATTTGTGGCTTAGAACCAACTCGATCAAACCACAGACTCAATTTAAAACCTGTTGACCGGTTACAGGCCAGGCCAGTTCAGTGTGGTCATGTAACAATACTATTTTTATTTTTAAATCGTGGAAAATCAAAATAAAGCCCACGGGTTCGCGACTCCTCATCGTCACAATTCAGTGGACAAAAAAACCCTACTCTCCTCGAGCTTCAAATTCTCCATCAACCACTCGGTCCGGCCACTGGCCGTCGCCCGAATTTGAACTCTGTGAGTCGCTAAGGTTTAAAAATATCACTTCAGTTCACGTCTGAATCAAGTTAGAAGCTCCGGAAACATGTCGAAGAAGAACGATTTAGGTCGAAGGAAAAGGCTTCACGATTTTGATCTCAGAAGTAATTTTATTTATCCATCTCAAATGTTAAATATTCGAATGATTTTTTTTTCTTTTTTTCTTCTGTATGTGCAGATTATCAGTATCAGATTTGTGCAGTTTTATCTGTTTATTATCCGTTTCCTAACCCCTGCTAGTGAATTCTGTTTCAATCAGAAGAAAAAGAAGTGAAGGAAAAGAGGGAAAAGAAGCTTCAGGCCAAGAAAAACAAGATGAAAGTAATTTTGCCTTGTAATCTGTATCTATACTATCTGTAATTTCTGTGTTTTGCTTTTTTTTTTTTATTCGTTGACTTTGTATGTGACCAAGAACCTTCTCCTTGTAATTTTGTGTAGTATGTTTATATGATATGATAATTGTGTGCTTTTTTTTAAGTTTATTGTATTGCATTTGTGGATGACTAAGAACCCTTTTCTTCTATAACTAGGTTGATGGTAGCAGCAGTAAAAAGAAGAAGGGTGGCAATGGATTTCAAGTAGGGAAGAAGAAGCTGAAAACGAAGCTGACACCATTGGCGAAAGCTAAAGCTGCACAGGCTATGGAAGTCGACAAATGAGGTTATTATGGAATTGTTTACGTGCAACATGAAGTGGACGATCTTTTGTAGTGCAATAGAGCTAGATGTTGTTTTTCTTTCATACTGTAGCTTGTTCGCTCTCGTTATTGACGATCTTTTGTGATTCCAATTTACATTTCAACTCTGGTTTGTTGTTTGAGTAGTGATTTTAGTCAATTGACAATCCCCTTAGGCTCCGTTTGTTTTGAGGGATTTGAAATCCCTTGATTTCAAATTTTTTGAAATATAATTTTTTTTACTTGCACACTCCTTACATCCCTTGAATGGATGTGTTGAAAATATTATAAATCAATTGTCTAGCAGAAATTGACACATTTTCATATCATCTTCTTGAATGGATGTGTTGTTTGAGTACTGATTTCAGTCAATTGAAATTCAATTCATGCTATTACATTTTCATATCATCTCATCTCCTCAAACAGAGTTGTTAAGCGAGTATGGTATTGGGTATGATCACATTATACGTAGCCGGGTTATGAAAATCATTTTCATTGTTCAGTTAATTATTTCTCCTGGTTTATTTATGAACCGCTATTGGGTCAGTTGTTGAATTGACACATTCCCTGGAGGAAATTCTTACTATTACATGTTCATATTTATCGAGTATGGCATTTGGTATGAGCACAATCTACACGGCAGGCTTACTAAAATCATTACCATTGTTCGGTTAATTCTTTCTCCAGTGGTTATTTCTTCCATTGAGTGATCGAAGGTATGACCATTGCTTGCTTATGTTTCTTTTGCCTACATGCGACTTCACGCGGCAAAAAAATGAAACTTTCATTATCTGTTGTCCATAGACGAAGATTCATGCTTTTTTGGCATTTGATTGATGAGCTTAATATTAGCTAATTATCGGTGGTATTTGTCGAATATCTACACATTTTTTTTTAATTCAAAGTAATTTTATTCTGGATAAAATTTGGAATAACATGCTAGTTTCCATTAGGGATTCAAATTGCTAAGGGGACCCCAGAAGTCTTTGTCAATTACTCAATAATGTTGATCGAGGTCTGACAAATAACACACTGCCATGAGGATTACAGACCAATCACTCTTTGTGTTTTATCTTGTAGGATAGATTCAACAGCCACTTGAAAATGGATGTGTATATATTCTCAGGTAGCTATCATCAACTACTGCAAAATACAACGTTTTTCAAGTTTAAAAATAAAAATTGATTATCTTTGGAAGGTGACTAAAAGCTTTTGGTAAATCCCTTGGAATTTATCATGTAGGCTTTTGAGATGCATTTTGTGAAGTACTTTAAAATCAGTGGGAAACTACCCAGAACAAAACTCCCCGTAAACAACTTTTACCAATCTCAATCATTTAATGAGCTCTTTCATATGTTAATGAGTTAATTATTGTTTAATAATTTGATACATTCGAATAATTTTTCAGACAGCTTGAATTTTTATATGTCATGATTAAATATTACAATTTTAAAAATTTGGGATTAAATTAAACCTTGCATTAACCAGTAAAACACCCTCCATTTTTTCCCCTATTTCTTCTTACAGTCTGACTCCATTGGATGAATCATCTCTGTACATAATAAAGTCATTTGTATTGATTACACAATTCAGATAATGAAGGAATTAAATCAAATGTATTCTTATTCAATTCAACTTTCCTCATCACTCCTTTGATCAACATAACTGATTCATTTTTATATATATGTTCGTAAGTTGAATGGATGAATCCCGTTGAAACCGCCCTTGTAGCTCAATGAATTAAGTGTTGGTCAAAGCTTAAAAAAAAAAGCTATATCACATGTGCCAAAAGGTATAAAAACATAGGTTGTTGAAAAATCATATTATTATTTTTTCAATAATATGCAATTATGCATACATTTCCTATTGAAATGTACAATTCTAAAATAATATAAATAAAAATATGAAATTATAAATATAAAATTTATTCAAAAACATAACGACTCAACAAATTTAATAATTTTTTTTTTATTGCAAATAAAATATCTAGATTCATTTAATCAAAGTATAAACTCGATACACCACGAAAGAAAGAAGAGAAAAAAGACGGCATAGAATCCTTCCACAGAAAAAAAAATCCACCGCCTCTACTGCCCATTTAGCTATGTTATGAGCAACCACATTATTTGCTCTATCAATATGACTACAAACACCACAATTCAAAGATAACAAAAGCACGGTAATATCCACAATTATTACTCCCTCTGTTTCTTAATACATGTCGTTATAGGATGTCAACATTTTTGTAAATTAGTTGTCGTTGGAAATATTTTATTCATTCTTTCAACTTTATCCTTTTTAACAAACTTTATCTCTTATCATTATCTTTAAAAATCAACTATTAATAATTCAAACACTAAATGTATGAGAATTAATATATAAGATTATTACACATCCCATGAAAATCGTAATTTAGAAGTTTTAAATTAAAATGACATTTAAAAAGAAACGGATGCCTCACAACAACATTTGTTTTAAAAAGAAAAATCCACACAAATTTCTTTCTATCCTCGTACGTAACTTAAGAAACGCCACTATTGCGTCTTTCCTTCCTACTCATCTTATTATTAAATTAAACTACATGGAATTGTGTATGTGAACTTTAAAATATTTAAAAGAGATATATATTTTTTTCAGAAAATAAAAAGAAAAACATATGGAAAATCCATATAAAAATATCTATTGGATTTCCTTTAGATAACTCATAAAAGATAAGAGCCCAAAAGGGGGAAAAAAGTTACCACTGATGACTCTCACTCTGTAACTGTGTTAAAAAAAAACAAAAAAACAAAAGCGAAGTGCTATTAGCAATAAACCTCAAGAAAAAGCTCCCACACTTTTCAGATAAGAAAATACTTCCAAATATATGTTGGGTTAACAATGGCTTAATGCTCATCCCTCTACACGTTGCTGCCTGTGAGCACAGTGGATTTTAATGGTACTTTGATTTTCTCTCTTTAAAGCCCTTTCATTTTTGTAATATTTGCATTCATGAAGATTCAAAGGCTTTAATTTCTTCTTCTCCTGTTAGCTTTTTTTGGAGACCATTTTGTGCATGGTTTATACGGACATGTTTGTGTATTTTTTTTTGGAGTCCTACAATTACTACGTTGTGTTTGGGAGATGGGTTTGTGTTTGTTTTGTCTTGAAGGGATTTGAGTATTTGGTTTCGTGATTACAGTGTGATTAGATCGATTTAGTGCNAATTCAAAGCACTTTGTGGGGAGTTTTGCTTTTCGGAAATCTATTTCCTTCCGTTTTTCCCACTTTTTTTTGCCCTATTTCATGATTCATCTTCTTGTTCCTCATAAATGTGAAACGAGTCCTTCTCTTTTCGCAACTTTTAACATATCGACATATTTTCCCTCTTATGCTCGGCCTTTTTCTCCACAGTGACCTCAAAGCGAGACTTTTCCGAAAGATAAATGCATGGATCATCAAAGGGAAGCTATGACACTCTCGAGCACAGCTTCTTACTACGTGCCGGAGCCCACACTATCCAATTCCACTGTGCATTTCCAGTCGAACACTGGGCCCAGCTTAAACGTACCACCATCAATGCCCTCTGCTCATGGAAGAGTTGAAGTGGGCCCACCAACTATGCAGCAAGCCCAGCCCGTTCGGAGAAAACGAGGAAGGCCTCGTAAATATGGACATGATAGTACAGTTTCTTTAGGACTGTGCCCTTCTGTGTCTAATGCTGCACAGAATGTAAGGCCGACTCAAAAGTCGAGGGGAAGGCCGCCTGGTTCTAGTTGTAAGCTTCAGTTAGCTTCAACAACAGGTATTTATTTATTTATTTGTTTATTTTATCTTGTTTGTAATTGACTTTGATATGAACCTCTCAAGACCTTTGATACTATTCTCTACTTGACTGATTTTTTTGAAGAACTGATTAATTTTTTCAGGTGGATCGATGTTTAATGCAACTGGAACAATGACTCCATATATCATCAATGTTGCAGTTGGAGAAGTATGTGAAAAATTGTTTGAATTCATTTTTGAACTTGTTTAAAGATACTTTGATCATGACATATTATTTGATTTGATTTGATTTGATTTTGCTTGTATTGCTAATAACTTCTATGCAGGATATCAAAGTAAAGGTACTGTCACTTTTACAAGATCGACGAGCCATAGTTGTGTTGTCGGGCGTCGGTTATATTGCAGCTGCCAACATTAAAATTCCGAGCTCCAATGGGAGTGTGACCTATGAGGTGTAAGCTCTGAATGTTCCCTATTTGTCATAAGTCTGAATTTACCTATTATTTCTTCTTTTTCCTTTATCTCTTAGTGTAAAATGATGGCATAATCAAACCTGAACGAACAAAATGTAGCCAAATTAAGGATTCTCAGATGCATTAGCACTGCATCTTTGATGCAGTCATCGATTCTATTGAATCGAGAAAGAAAATGGGGTTGATTGACCATCTTTTTGATATACTCTACGAATTGATCCAGTTCTTCTTGATCAATTTCTTTCAAATACCTCAAAGATATCATGATCTAAAAATTTGTCTCACACTCGACTAAAAAGACAAACAGCAAGTAAACATCTTCTTACGACGTATCGGGATTTGCCAAAAATATGATCTTTTTCTTTAAAACAAATCTTCTCATTTTATTTTTTTTCCTTTGTCGAATTTTGAGAATGTGATGCATTTTCTGTAGGGGCACTTTGATATGGTGAATCTTTCTGGTTCTTTTATCAATGAGGCTGACGAGCCTCAGGGCTCGACAGGTGGTCTGACTGTTACTTTCATGGGTCCCGATGGCCGTCTTATTGGTGGACCTGTTGAGGGAATTCTCATTGCTGCTAGTCCTGTTCAGGTATTGTATGCATACGCTCGAGCTTAGCTTAAAAATAGCTTTTCAAATAAGCCCGTTATTTTTTATTTATTTATTTATTTATTTTATCTCAATTAGCTTTTCAGCTAATTTTACCAAACACTTGTTTCATATCAGTTAGTTTTTCAGCCATAAGTCATATGCTACCAACTATAAGCTCGAAATTTACTTATAAACTATCAGCTATAAGATAGTTTATGAGCTAGTTTTACTAAACATAGCCTAAAATACTTTGNTTTGTGAATTTTCGCCTAAGCGTATTCCATAGTGTTTGGTTGTTCAAGAAATGCCTACCATATTATCAGTTGAGCTTAGTTGAGCTTTTCATTTATGAGGTTTTATTGATGATGATTTAGGTGATTATTGGAATTATAATGCCTTCCACTCCAAAGCCGAAATACAAGGCTGTGGAGAATCGAGACACGTCGGGTGATCAAGACCGTACACTTGGCAACTCGACAGATCAAGCTAACATCCAGCCTAGTCAGAGTCTCTCCACAATGGGCATTTGGCAGAGCTCAAGATAATCGCACGCGCAAAAGTATTTTGACCTTTGACTGATGCTCGGTTTTCATGACTTCCGGTCGTGGCCGGAGCAGACCACAGTAGACGATATTTGTTCATTATCGCGAAAAAAACGAGCATTTTGGCCTCATGTCTTTGTTTTNNNTCTCTTTACATTTGCACATAGTTTGTCCAGATGTATATCTGTTTACTGGAAAAAAATTATTCAGTCTCTTCACTATGTGAATGAAGCTTAGTTTATTTTCAGAACAAACAGTTAGTAATTAGTTCATTTTGTTTTCATTTTAGATAATTGTTGTGTTCCTGCAGGGTTTGCTTTTTGTGGATCTTGTTTTTCATTTTAGATAATTCTGATTCAATTACTGGCTTATTTGTGAAACTGGTCCCTGCAGGGTTTGCTTTTTGTGGATCTTGTTTTTCATTTTATCTTTTGTTTCTTTTTAAGGATACTGCAATTTTCAAAATGATGAAATCCAGAAAGAAATCAGCATAACAATACATCATCATATCATATAGCTTCTAAACAGAAGTAATCATCACTGAAAAAATACAGCATTTTATCTTTCAATAATGTTCAAACAAAGCTCAAATTCTAAACATAGAATTCTCTCTCGGACAGTAACCAAAACCTGTAAAAAAATACAAAATCATCCAGCAGTTTCACCTCTATACAATTCAAGAACATCATAAACTGAAAAAAAAAATAAATAAATAAAAAAAATCATAAGACCTTTTAACAACCAATCACAATATGCAGTCTGTCCTCGCCGGAAGCCGCCGGAAAAAGTTCACCGCCGCCGGCGGCAGCCTCCCCCGGAACCTCGGGTGCCTCATCACATACATTCCCGATAAAATAACCGCCAGCTGGAAAGGCACGACGTACAACACGCCAGCTGTCACAACACAGAACGCCATGAATATAACAGTCGCCCGCGTGTCCCGCCAGCTCAGCAGAGCCTGGACCCTCTCCCCCTGCGCCGCCACGTCACCCACCACCATCTGCACCCGTCCGGCCACGCTCCTCAGCCGATCGTACCTCATCCGAACCACCTCGTGGGCCCGCGTGCTCGGAAAATGGTCAAACTCCTCGTCCAGCTCCTCCGGGTGCACGTGGTCCGCGCACGACAACCGCGCGTCCATGTGCGGAGGATAATTCGGCCGATTCCGATAGTTCCACAGCCCGATCAAGAACATGTAGAGGAAAATCGTAGGGAGAATCAGCTCGGGAAAGCAAACGAGCATCGCAAACAGCACGTGAACCAAGAGAGTCGTGACCGGGTTTTTCCACACGCGTACGTCGGAAAACCATTTCCCGAACGAGAAAAGCCCGTCGAAAACGGATATCAGCCGGAAAAAATTCGCCTTGCTACGCCTCATACTCCATAAATGAGAGTCGGCATCGATCATATACTCGACGATTTCCTTCTTAAGAGGAGGCTCGGCCCGGCCCAAACGGGCCCCGACTATAGCGACAGCCTGGCGGCGAAGGATATCGAGCTGCGCCATTTCTATAGGCATTTTGTAGTGCATTTTCGGGAGGAGAGGCCTCGAGTAGAGACACATCACGCTCGAAATCGACGCGCACGAGAATCGGATCGCCAGGTGGAGCTCGCCCGTTTTCTTCACTCCCGATGGATGAAGAACTAGCAATGGATACGAATGCGTGTAGACTCGACCCGTTTCGAGAGTCGAGATTCGGATCCGAACTTTCCCGATCCGAACGTCGCTATCACGACAGCTGTCGAAAACTCCGACGGTTAAGACGGTGGCAGGGTCGAAAACCTCCCACGAGTATTGCTCGTTGTACTTCGGATTCAGACTGTCGGTGATCGTTCTCGTCCGGACCCATTTCGTGCCGTATTTCGCAACGCAAAAAGTGTCTGACGTGGCACGACCGTCTCGCGTCTTCATCGGCGTAAGGGCATCGGCGTTTAGAATCCCGAGCTCGAGAAATCCGACCGGAGGCTTCCAGAGCTGTTTGGCGGTCGGGCGAAGGTCACTACTGTAGTGCGTGGGCTCGACCAAGACGTGATACCCACCGTCGAGGCAAACCCGAATATGGACTCGACTAGCAAACTTTACATCGTTCTTCGACTCAACCTCCTCGATATTATCATCATCACTCGTTTTTCGTAAGTTAAACCATCGAGAGTTCACGGCTCGATCATCCGCGCGCCTCTCGACCGTGGACAACGGGATAGAAACCTTACCAAGAACCTCGTCTTTATCCGGGCCCACGCGGCCTTCCATCGTGAGCACGATTTGTTCGTCGTCTAACGGCTCGGCCGCGACAAACATCAAGTCCTCGTTCCAAGTGGCGTTTCCACTCCGAGACAAAACGGGCCTCGTTTTCACGATTTGGTTCCCGACTCGGGCCTTCACGTGCACACTCGGGAGATGGCTCCTCTCATTAGCCGAGACCAAATCTTGAGCCTCGATCACGTTCACCCGAACGTACCACAAACGAGGCGAGTGGTACACCTTCGAGCGCGTGTGTGCCGCCGACGAAGACAAATACGAGCTGTCCGAATGCCACGCCTCGGGAAACGCCTCGTCAGCCTGAGTCCCGACCCAGACCGCCAACATCAACTCGCCTTTATTATCCCGTTTTTTCCCCTTTTTGTCCTCGAGACGATGCCATTGTGGGGCCAAGGGGCTTTCGGGTGGGACCCGCGTGGGGACTTCATGTAGCTCGACCCGAACGGCCCCGACAAAATCGTCCTTAATCATGTTCTTGTCGTTGACGATGATTTCAAGAACCGACGACTGGATTCTATCCTTGGAGAACGCGAAAACCGTGTTCCACTCGGGGGAATCGGTCTTTTCAAAGTGCCTCGAGATACCTCGGTAGTTCCCGAGCCGGACCTCCAAGTACGGGTCGGGCTCTCGGGGGAGCCCGCGGGCCCGCACGACCCTCACGAAAAGGAAATGCATGGGCTCGACAAGATCGTACATGACCCGGCCCGTTCCAAGAACTGGGCTCGTCTCCTTTAGTGTGAAATCCGCACCGGGATGTAAGGACGGGCCCGCATACACGGGCCCGATTAATGGTTCGGGCCTCACACGATTATTATTATTATCCCCATATACAACCGGTTTTTGATGGCTACTCGAGGTCGAGAGATTATAAAACGCGCGTCTTGATCTTCCATTTTTACCCTTGGCCGCACGATTTCCCGGTTTTCGAGGAGGCGACTCGTCCGGAAGGCTCGTCTCGAGAACCGGCACGGAAGGCCTAACGGACGGGTCATCGGTTAAGTAAACTTTTAAACCGAGCTCGCCCCTCGAGCGCGAAAACAAGCTACCTCTTTCGAGAGGATAGTTGAAAATGACGGCATCGGCATAGGGCACGAACGACGAGCCGGAAATCCGGATCTTTCCGAGGGAGGATTTGGAACTTCCGAGCTTATTGGCGGTGTTGTACACGTGGGCCTCGAGGGTGAGGTCGTGCAGGTGGGTCGGGTCAGATATGTTGAAAACAAACGACTCGTTCCAAAACGGGTCAAGGTCTTTTTCCTTGACGGTTGTACGGAATTTCTGGCCGTCGAGCTCCAGCTCGACGAACGGGTTTGACGAGCCATGGCCGTTTTTGGGGATTAGGTTGTGGGCCCGAACGACCTCGACTACTAGCTTGAGATTACTCATGATGAAGCTATAAACAGAGGGTTTTTAGCGATAGTAATGGAAACTGGAAGAGAAGAAAATGAAAATGTTAGAACATATAAAGCTAACAGTAACACTATCTAAAAAACAACAGCTGATATTAAGCCTTTAGCTCGGCTCGTTTATCAATATTAACTAGCGAAACTCGAGTCATAATATGCCGAGCTATACGACATTAAATAAAAATTTCCGTTTTCAAAGGCTTAACGAGCCAACTCGGCTCGGGTTGTTAACTAAACGAGCTCAGGAGCGGCTAGTTTTGTTTAATGGCTCAAGGATAAGATATGAAAACCGAAGAAAAGGAAAGGGGAATAGATAAAGAATATGCATCTTAAACCAGAGGTTTCATCAGGGATAAATAAATAAATTAAAAAAAAAAAATGAGGTCTTAAAGGAATCAGTTCCCATAATTCACAGTGACATAATTTGCAGAATTTTCCAATTGTACACACAAAGATTCAAACTTTATTATAATCTACGGCTGATGATACTATTATCTTCTGATTAAGCTAATCAACAAGCCCACATAAAAGACTATTGTTGAATATAACATTAACAAATCACACGCATTATGCATAGAAACATACTAATTTGGCCTGCCCACAATTAAAAA